ATGCACGCCCATCCACGTGCACACACCCTCACACACGCCCCCACACATACAACCTCCCAGCACATACACACTCAAACAACAACAACAAAACAGGAAGGCAGGCCCCAGCCCAGCTCACCTGGAAGAGCAGCTCATCAACAAACCACCAGAGGTACAGCTGCCGAGGGCTCCGCGCTCCAGCTCTGAGGGGCGGGGCTGGCACGCAGAAATCAAACGTTCAGGCAGTGCCTTAGATGTGCAGCCCTGCCAGGTCCGTGTGGGGTCACAGTCCCCTGAGCACAGATACCAGAAACAGAGACAAGGCTTTGAAGAGACATGTCCGTGTGATTACCTCCTGGGCCTGGGCAGAGCGAGGCTCAGAACGTGGATCCTGGGCAGAGGTGGCTCAGAACGTGGATCCTCCCACCAGGGGGTGGCCAGCCCTGCTTCTGGGACGGTCTCAATGCCCAGGCACTGACTTTAACCAGCCAAAGTCTCGAGTGAGAGCAGCTGCATAGAAACCAGTTCTTGAGGTTTTTTTCTGCCACTGCTACCTGCTCCGTGGAGCCTCCGAGCACAATGCTGCCTGTGGTGGCAGGTGAAGGTTGTCCCCAAGGCTGAAGAATTTATGCATCCGTAATAGAAGCATCACCCATCACAGACCATGGTCACAGCTGCTCTCTGACTGGCAAGTGGGCAAGGTGAGTGGCTCTTACAGCTGGACCCAGCCATGTGACGTCTTCCACTACCCATAGCTTTGGCCAGAGAGACTAGCAGGATGCATTGGGAGGCTCCTCGCTGCCTTCAGGTGGTAAGCCAGAAACGTCCAAAATCAAGAGCCTTGGCCTCTGGAAAGTTCAAGGGTTGAGGATGGCAAAGATGCGTAACTGAACATACACTGAGGACCTGGGCAGCCACCCAGGCCTGAGATGGCAAGGAGCATCAGGGCCCTGTGGGTGGCTCACCTCTCTTTTCCAATGGGGGCAATGCCACGTCAACCCACAGCTCTACCCAGTGCTCTCCTCAAACTTAATCCAGGATGTGATCTCACGTTGTTCCAGTGCCTCTGGTCCCTTGGGGATTCATCCTGAGGCTGCAGACAGTAAGGTGGCAGCTCTGCCACACGGAAGGACCACCCACTGTCGCCTTGGAAGTCCTCCCCTCTTGATCAGTGCTCATCACCATCTCCAGGAGCCACCGCTCACTCACGCACGTACTCAGCTGGGGTTGAGGACTGTCAAGGGAACAGACAGACCATCACGACTGCTCCGAAGCCACCATGTCCATCACAGAAGTGGCAGCAGATGGTTGTGTCTGGCAGATCTCTGCATCTCTCAACTGTGATTTTTCAGCAAATGTTTCATCTCTCCGGGGTTGCTCAGAACACTGTCTGGGCCTCTGCAGCCTAAACAATGGTTTGGGGCTATGGCCCAAGGGGCCTGAGGGCTGGCATTGAGGAGGTGGGAAGGCTGGTAGCTCTGGAGGGATAGCGACTGCCAGCACCCATGGAGCCAGCACCCACGGAGCCAGGGCCAGAACACCTGTCACTCTGCAGGAAGCGCCCTCTAGGGCCATCATCTTCAAAGCCATTGGCTTCTCAAGGAAGATGAGTGTATGGCCAGCATGCTCTCGGGACCCTCTGTGACAGCCTGAGTTCCCCTATATCTGGGGGAGAGACTCTTTTCTGTTTCCCAAATTAACTCTTTGCCATAACTGTAGAATTCTCTGCTCCCAACAGAATTGACATATTGTAGTCACAAAACTTCGCCTTAACTGCAGCATTCCCAGCCCATACATATCGCATAACAAAAGGGATGGAGCTTGGTGGCCTGCACACACTTCCTTTGTCAGTCTGCCATGTCAAACACCAGAGTCTGGGCGGCTTCATCCACAGCAGTGCATTATTGTCTCATTGTCCTGGAGCCGGCAGGTCAAGGTCAAGGTGTCTTGGGTTGGTCATTCCTGCACTGTCCCCTTAGCATCTTCTCTCCGTCATCTCTGTGTGTCTGTGTCCTGATCTGTCCCTACAGTAGTGTCATGGTCGAATTGAGTTGTGCCCCTGCTGATGACCACATTTATCTTGGTTGCCTCTGTAAAAGCCCCGTCCCCAGTATGGTCATGCTGGTGGGGGTGTTACAGCGGAGCCTCGACATTCTATGTTGATGGGACACAATTCAGTCCCTCACATGGATTTGCCACCTGGTGCCCGGATGCAAGGGAAACAGGCCAGGCTGCAGCACTGACCACCGTTGCCCTGTGCAGGTACCAGGACACTGGTGCCCAGGACCAGGCAGGCACTGATGTGTGGCCTAGGGGAGGCGCTCTCTGCTGGGGTCATGCCATGTGTCCACCGGACTGTCCCGTTCCTCTGTATTGCAGATCTGCTGTCTCCGTGAGACCTGCTTCTCGCGGAAGCAGAGCCTCTCAAACCAGGCTTAGTTACAGACTCCTCATCTATTCCTCGCGGGCTTAGTTAGTGTCAAAACTCTGGGAGATGTTTGCAGAGAGCTGAAAAAAGGTGACAGCAGAGTTAAACACCACATCTCTCTCACCCTACACCAAGTGTCCACAGACGACCGAGTCCCTGGAAATCAGATTTGTCCGGACAAGAGGTCCACCCTCCAGATCAAGGCGTTAGAAAGCATCTCCAGTCCCAACAAGAGGAGCGGACTCCAGCTCACCAAAGCCCTTCCCATCTCTAGCCTTGAGCAAGCAAGAGGTGGCCCTCAGTGACAGCCCTGCCCACATGCATGGTGGATGAACGTCCTCTGAACTCTTAACACTCTACTCTGGTTATGGTCATTTTGGTGTCACCCCTTGAAGTCCTGTCTCCCTACACAGGGTTGTTATCATGACTGGAATGCTCATGAGCTTTTCTGACCTTGTTACGTCACTCTCAGGAGGCATAGAGGTTGTCACAGACCCCAACCCCATCTGGGTGATCCTACAATTGACCTGTCCCACCCTTCCCCGGTCACCTTGGTGGCACTGTTCAGGACAATGCATGAGAGAGAGGCTCACCTGGCCTGCCTGCTCCCCCTGACCCCTGACCTCTGACCCCTGACCCCGTTCCCACAGATGCTGAGCTGCTTAGAGCATATGTACCATGACCTCGGCCTGGTCAGGGACTTCAACATCAACCCCATCACACTCCGCAGGTGGCTGGTAAGTGACGGAGCCCACATCTGGATCTGTCACCTCCCCCCCCCCCCCGTCACGCTGGAATGGCCTACCCTGCATTTCCTAGTGGTAGTGGGCTTCTGCAGAGTGGGTGTCTGTACCAGGGGAGGTCTGTGAGGTCCTTTGTCCCATCTGTCCTCCCATGCCCTCAGAGCAGCGAGGAACTGGTATAACCATCAGGGAGAGACCCACAAGGCAGCTCACTAAAGCAGGGGTGTGTGGAGTTGGGGGGTGTCGTGTGTGTCTGGGGGTGTGGGTAAGAAGATGATATGAGTGTGTGTGTGGTTATGTCTATGAGTGTATAAGTGTGTGTGTGTGTGTGTGTGTGTGTGTGTGTGTGTGTGTCTGGGAGTGTGCATGTGAGAATGTGTGTGGTTGTCAGAGTGTATGTCTCTGTGGCCATGTGGATGTGAGAGCGTGTCTCTGGGAGTTTGTGAGAGTGGGTGCATCAGGGTTGTGTATGGTGTGGGTGACTGTATGTATATGGGGGGTAGGCCTGGGTGCTTAGTAGCAGATCTTTTTCTAAGAGATAGAACGTTATTGTGAATCAAGAACTGAAAGCCTGTTAATTGTCCCATTGCCTGGGAACCTAGAGCCCCTGGTGGAATGATCCCTGCCCCACTCCCAGCTTTCTATCCCAGTGTGGCTCAGCAGACACCTGGGGGATACTTGAGTCCCTGCCCCCAGGTTGTACAGTGGCGGGACATTGCAGGGCTTCCCGGCCACATTGTTCTGTGATGGTGAACTTGGGAACACCCGAGGCCTTGGCCTTGAACATGCAAAGCTCTGGGAGCCTTATGGGAGCAGGGGGCGTGAGCTAACCCTCCCCTCCCCCACAGCTCTGCGTGCACGACAACTACAGGAACAACCCCTTCCACAACTTCCGTCACTGCTTCTGTGTGACGCAGATGATGTACAGCATGGTCTGGCTCTGTGGCCTCCAGGTGGGTCCTGCCAGCCCCCACCCTCCATCCCTAACCCTGCTGAGTGGCTGCATCCTCCACTCCCCCAGCCCAGGAGGCCTACGACCCCTGCAGGGACTGTGTCCTCCCCTGTCACTGCAGCCCAGTCTGTCCCCACCCCTCCTGCCCTCCCATGAGGAGGACAGACACCTGACTCTCACCTAATCCAGGAGAAGTTTTCCCAGATGGACATCTTGGTCCTGATGACCGCAGCCATCTGCCATGACCTGGACCACCCAGGGTACAACAACACGTACGTTTGGGGTTTCTTTCTCGTTTCTTCTTGGAAAAGTGCCCCTTCTCTCAGGGGAACTCGGCTAGCCCTTCAATCACTCTCAGATGGAGCTGCCCGCCTAGACCCCTAACCCTGCAGAATGCAGTTCTCAGCTTTGGACTTGATCCAGAGCCCTGGGCCTCCCCTGGGAGGGTACCTCCAAGGTTACCAAACCATACAGGCAGCCACAATCCCTTTGTGTCAGCCCCACCCAGGCTCTAAAGGCGCACGGTAGCACCAGCCTGCCCCCTCCCCGAGGCGGGGGACAGTGGGACTCCACACTATTCTCTGCCAGGGTGCTCCCTCTCCAGGCTACTTCCAAAGGCACAGGCAGAGAGTCAGGGCTAAAATGAATGGGGGCGGGGCTGGGGGACTGCAGGTCTGGGCCACTAAGCACCTCCTGTCTCCATTAGGTAGAATGCTACCCATGGTATTGACAGAGTCCCTCGTCATGGTGTGGGCTTGCATTCAGTGATACATAGGTTTTTTTTCTAATGTACCTTTGTTCAGGGACATCAGATGTCCTTGGGGCCATGCATCCATTTGTCAGTACAAAATGAGTCCAGGTCTAGCCATGTCTACTCCTCAGGACAGAATAGATGCCAAGTGTGGCCAGGAGTACTCCTCAGAGGCATACCCAATAACTCATTTATTACCTTTCTGCACATTTATTGATCACCACAGCTGCCAACAACAGACCGGCAAAGAGTTCATTTTAGCATTAACCTCAAAATTCAACCCTTAGAATGGCACAGTAGGGCTCTTCCTGTAACCCCAGCTCTTAGAGGCTGAGTGAGGCAAAAAGATCCCAGGTTCCAGGCCACCCTGAGCTACAGAATGAGATCCTGTTAATATATGCGTTAAAATATGCGTATTTATACATACATGGGAGGCGGATGAGAAACCTGTTTTCCCTTTCCTGAAATCTTATCTTTGCATATACTGAAAATATGACAGTTTCTGGAACCTCAGTGCCTTCAAGGCATCACCCCGGAGAGAGAGCTGAGGTCACGGGTTAGACTTGAAAGCCGGGGATATCTAGTTATAGGAGCATGAGAGTCTGGGGTTCAAGTGAAGCGAGTTTCTGGTGTGAGCAGATGGCATCTGGTCATTAGCCCTTAGGCACCTCCAACTTCTGCAGGAACCACGTACACCATGGCGTACAAATGCCAGTGGCGGGGTGCCTGAACTTCCCTCTCTCTCCACACATCCTAGGTACCAGATCAACGCCCGCACAGAACTGGCTGTGCGCTACAACGACATCTCGCCGCTGGAGAATCACCACTGCGCCATTGCCTTCCAGATCCTGGCGAGGCCGGAATGCAACATCTTCTCCAACGTGCCACCAGAGGGCTTCAGGCAGATCAGGCAGGTGTGTGGGGCCAGAGCTTCGTAGGGTCCGAGCAGAGCCCCATGCTTCGGAGGCTCTTGGCTACAGCAGCACCCACCAGGGACCCTGGAACCAGCCCACTTTATCTGCTTCCTCCAGGGCCCAAAGTGGTCCCCAAGGAGATGGGCCTTTGCCGTAGACACCTGATGTCGCCCGCATGTCACTGCCATGAATACAACCCTCAAGGCTCCCTTTGAGATGATTCCTGTGTCCCTGGGGTCAGGGAAGAAACTGAGAAAAGAAAGGGAAGTCATTGGCCCAAGGCAGTAGGGAGCCTGGACAGGCACCTATGTTACATGCAGCCTGGTAAGCTGATATCTGCCATGTAGTTTCAGCTACTATCACCCACCACGTAGGACCTGGTCATTCACCTCCATCATGACCGGCCCTAACTGATTATTCCATCTTGTCACTCCTGCCCTGAGACAAACA